ATCCCCCATGGCATGTTCAATTTGCATTATATACAAGTGTGTGAAGGTATGAACATGCACGCAAGTGTAATATAGCATTTTAAACATGCTACAATGGCCTATGGCTTCATTACACTCCGTTTACAAAGTTTCACATGTCAAACCTCTAAAGTTGACAAAATACATTTTAATGGCAAAACTTGAAGTTTAAAATGCATACATATGAACTTAAAGGTTTGCGGCCCTTGGCCTCATGTCATGGACAAGTTCAATATCAAGTTGCAAGTTCTTTTCATGCAAAACACAACCATGTGAGTTAAGTTCCATACAAAGGAATTGATTTGATATAAGTTTCAAAACTTATCTGTTTATTTTCGAATTGATAAACGTGAAGAGACTTGTTAAGAAATCATGAATACAAGGTTAGAAACTTAATCTAGCTCATGGAACCATTGATTGGATTTTAATTAATTCATTTAATTAAAATCTCTAGATTTTAAAAGTCATCCAAGTGACCTCAATTAAATGTATGTTATACAACATGTCAAGACTTGTTTTAAAAACACGATACAAGTGAATTACATGCAAAATACGACCATGAGTATTAAACTTTAATACTAGAAAAATAATAAATGATAAATTTCAAAACCTAATCAAATATTCTAGATCAAATATATGCGAAGCTACATAACATGCACATCATGAATACCAAGTCGAAATTTCAATGGAGTGAATAGTACACTCGGAATAAATTAATTAATTAATTAATTAAATATTCTCTAGATTTTAAAACATCTCTGATTACTTTCAAATTCACCTATGTTAAAGAGTATAATAAAACCTAACATAACATGCTAACACACATTGATTTCAAGTTAGTTAAGGCCATGTGAATTAATCTTTCATTCAAGATAAATATTAAATTAAATCTTTATTACTTGTTCAAATACCCTCAATTTAATATATGTCAATGACCATATTATGGAGTAATGTTATACCATGCTACATGTTCAAAACAAGTTATGAGCAACCGGGAAAATCAAATCCAATACAAGAAAATTAAATAATAAAATCTCTAGATTTCATATTTAAGCATGTAATCAAGTCGTATAAGCATCAATATCATGCTATATAACAAGAATTAAACCTAGAACATCCCCTACCTCAATTTGAGATGAAAACCTCAACGGTCCACCGAAAAAAAAGTGCTCCGAATCCGACGATACCGAAGGGTTTTGTCGGGGACAACACGATGAACAAGAAGCCCCATGAAAATCTCAACTTGACCTCAAACCCGAACTCAAGAAATCGTCAGAAATGAGTTTTAGGAAGGGCATAAGGTAGAACACGTCGAGGGGAACAATAAACGTTAAGGCCGAAGGATTTCTACCAAGGAAAAATGGACCAAAAGAAGAGAGAGAAGGTGGTAGCCATGGCTGCCATGGATTCTAGCCAGAAGAGAGGAGAGAGAGAGAAAAATCTGACTTCTTCTCTTAAGGCCTCCTATTTATAGAAAATCTCAAAAAGTGCCCCGAAAGGGCTCCGCCGGGTCTGGAAAAGTGGAATTTGAGCACGCTCACTCAAACGTCAAAACTCCATAAACAAAAAAGATTCACATGAGAAAATATAAATAACGGAAGAAACGGCGTCGAAAACCGAGTCCCGAGCAGAAAGTTATGCCCCGAACAAGTTTGGCCGCAATCGGGTCCAAAAACTCTGAAACTGGAGAAAAACAACCAAACCGGAATTCTATGAATTTATGAGTTGACAAAAAGTGAAAATGAATCCCGTACAAGGATCCAGGCTCCAGATGAGGTATTTTGCAATAACTTTCGTTAATTGCACAATGACCCCTACAAAAAGGGTTAACTACAAAACTGCCCCTGAATGAAAATATCTTCCAAAAGCTATTTTCTTAGATACCCTTGAAATAAAATATTTTCAAAAGATATTTATGAAAAACACTCCAAGAAAAGAAAAGAATTCCAAAGAATTGTGCATCCATGCCCCTATGGACACCGGGAGTTACCAGAGTACTTTCTTGAAAAAGTAAAGATACGTATTTCATGGAAACCACTCAAGATCAAGATATGTGAAGTCAAAAACTAACTCCGAACACGAAAAGTGAGGTTATGCCAAAAACTGACAAACGGGGAAAAGACAGAATAGGGAAAAGGACGAAAGGCGCATAGTATTCGAAAATTAAAAATGCGGAATGACTCGGTCCTCAAGGGAAGTTGTCAATTCACATAAAAGAGTCTCAGAAACCAATTCCAAGCACTCGAGATGACACTAAGCGACATGAAACAGAGCTCAGAAAAGAAAAATAAAAGGAAAAAACTTATCCGTAAAATTTCAGGAAAAAGAAAAGGAAGGGAAATTTTTGGGTTGTTACAGTGATGGCATAGAGGGTAGAAAAGTCACATTTGGAACATTTTGAGCAAAAAAATGATCAACAGAATAAGCATAGGCTGTGATATGCATAAATGATGCTAAATGCATTCACAAACCTAAAACTCAAGTAGATACACCAATGACATGACAAGTAGACCCTAGGATGACATCGTATCAATTCCTAAGCAAGTATGTCTACAAGTTCAACAGTTAAGATCAAATAGAGCAAACAGGATAACATGGAACACATAATCATGGCAAATGTTAACCTAAGACTCAATAAGCATGCATATCATGTAATAAAGACTAAATGGAATGCACAGTTGCAAAACACTTTAATCTAAGGCATGTTATGATAGACAAGTTCAAGAATGAATCCTTAACATGGTATGCAACTAGATGGCATGTATCTGAATGATGCACATATATCAACAAACTCCAAACAAAGAAATATCCTATACTCTAGTGTAACAAAATCGACATCCTATGATCACTCATGGCTCGTGACCTCCTCTAAGCAGTAGATAAGCAGAAAATTGATCGCTTACTTTAAAGCTTAAATGAAACAGAGAATGGTCAAAAACTGAGAATATAAGAAGCTTACCATTATGGAATCAAAATCTAGACCAGAAAGAACCTCGGCCATAAGCCCTTACTTGGTTCTCAAAAATGGATCACAAGTGTCTGATATCAAGCAAATGGCAATTAAATAGATAATTTTCAAGACAAAGCAAACAATCCTCGGACTCATGTCAAATTGCATTTCAGAATTCAAGTTAAACTCAAGAAGTGATACTAAGGCCAAAGAACATAAATCACATTCCAATCATGCATTTTAAAACCCAAACATCCATTTCCTACCCCCAAACTTAGTCAAAGATCAATTCCAAGAAGATATGTTTGAAATATGCACAAGAACTCTAAAAAACTATCAATGTGACATAAATGTGTGCAAAACGGTGTATATACAAGCAACAAATTGCAATTATTCCAAAGTGTAAACAATTATTCAAAGAGGAACACATTTGACAATTTTCAAGGTCAATAAGCAACAATGGAATCATTTGATTTCAAAAAGTTGAGTTGGAATGGCAATTCATCTCATTTTGCAAGAGAAGATCAAAATCATGATAAGGACGGTCAAAAGACATCAAACTTGTGCCCTAACGTGGCAAGAATCAAGAATTGTATCACAACAAGTTCAAAGGCACTTGCACATGCAATTAGATGGAAAAGAGTCAACTGGAACAAGTTTCAACTCAAACAAGGGCATTTTGGTCAACTTTGGAATTACTCGACACTTTTGGGGCAAAATTAGAATTTTTGAAAATTTTGGAGTCAAAATATTCGATTGCATTGTGTAAAAGCTTCATGACAAGAATCATGCAATGAATGAATAACAAAAGAAGGAATCAAGCAACTTGACTTCTCATTTTCAAAACAAAGTTCAAAACTTTCCTTTTAATCATTTGAATCCAACAAGTGTGATCACAAAGCATTTTAACATTTAAAGATCATTTTACCAAAACAATGCACTTGAATCATGAGCTTAAGTTAATTAGAAATCAAAACTGTTCAAAAAAGTCCATTTTGTAACACCTTTATACATTTAACAAGACTTTGCATTTTAAAGTTCAAAAGAACAAAATTCAAGTCAAAACATACTTGTATGCATCTAAGATAATCCAAAAACAATACATCCATGCATTTCATACTCAAGATAATCAAATGAAACAAGTCGGGATTATGTTCACAACATTTCAAATTTGCAATGCCATCTCAAGAAGATTTGCAAAAATATAAGTTCAAAAAGATTTTCCTTTCATTTCAAATCTCTAGACAACAAATTCATTTTGACATTCAAATTTGCATTTTAAAATCAACAAACAAAATTGCACAATCATGAGATTTCCAAACAACTTGGATTTTCAAAGCAACTTTCAAAGAAGTTGTAATTTTCTTTCTTTTCAATTCAAATCCAATCCTTAACTTCAAAACTCTTTTTCAAAATTTATTTCAAGCTTCAAAAACAAACCACATGCCTTTTGGAATGTAAAATCAAACTTCAAGTTTAATTTTTCAAAATATGGCATGGGTTCCCCTTAAAAATGAACATTTCCAAAATTGTCAAACACAACAAATATGCATTTCAATCATAATCAAGTAACACACGAAGTTCAAATCAAATCCATTCAATATTTCAAGAAGGGATACCGCCCACAACATCAATCCGCAATTCAATGAATGCATGTTTTCCTTCTAAACTACTCCAAACTCCATTCGTCAAAGTATTCCCATCACCGTTCAATCCAAAATCAAAGATATGCAATCCAAAGATAATTGTTCCAATTTTTAAATAATTTTTCATTTTTATTATTTTTTTATTTTTTTATTTTTTCAATTTTTATATTTGTTTTCCAATTGTTTTTATATTTACAAACATATATACAAATGACAAATAAAATGCAAAATACAAAAATAAAAACAAAGCAAAACATAAAACAAAATATACAAAAACAAAATGAAAATAAATAAAAGAGAATAAATTGATGCATACCCGATTCAAAAGAGAGTAGAGGAGATTGAAACAAAAATTTTGGAGCAAAACGAAGGGTTTTCGGGCTCACCGTGGCCGGATAAGATGACCCGAAGCTCGCCGGAGCTTCGCCGGAATCTTCAGAGGTCGCCGAAGATGGTGACCGACTCCTCCTTGGCCTAAATCGGCCTGAAATGACGAATATGAGTGAATCCAAGGGAGATAGAGAGAATGGATGAGAGAACTCGACCCTTTGGCTAAGAGTTCTTTGTCGGGAAAAATAATGCAGAATCAACGGCGGCTAAATGGGCTCTCCTTGGAATCATCGGCAAGAAGAGAAGAAGAAGTGGTGGTGGTTCAGTTGTGGGAGACTGAGGGAGGAGAGAAAGGTTGAGATTGAGAGGAAGGGGAGAGATTGAGAAATCTGGAGAGAAAGAGAGGGTTTGCCGAGAAAGGGAGAAAGAAAGAAAAGAAAGAAAGAAAAAAAAAATAAAGAGAAAAAGAAAAATAAGGAAGAAGAAAAAAAATTAAAAGAAAAGAAAAATAAAAGAAAATTAGGGTTTGAGTGGGAAGGTGGAGAGTCAAGGCATTTTCCAAAAATTCAAAAGACATCATTTTGATCGATCGAAGAGTTTTTGATCGATTGAACATTGACTTCGATCGATCCAAATGGATTTCGATCGATTGAGATGGATTTCGATCGATCAAAATTGGACATGAAAAGTCATTAACTCTCAAGGTTCAATCGATCGAAGTGGAATTTTGATCAATCGAACTAGGCTTCAATCGATCGAAGCTTCACTGAAAGTGCAGAAAAATGCAAGAAACTGCCCGAAAACTGAATTTTTCAATTCAACACATATCTAGACAACGCAGAAAATATCAAAACAAGAAATGAGGGAGAAATAGGGTTTGTAAACCCTATGAAGCACTAGTCTTTAACATCTCTAACAAGACGTTGGGCTCTTTTAGTCAGGATCAAAGATCTTAGTAGACATCCCCTTCTCGGCGGGATGAATAGAACTTCGAACCCCACCCAACAAACTATTCCCTAATAAACTTGTTGGATTTGGTTCAAGTGGAATTGATGGCCCTTGGTCAATAAAATTTTTGGGCTTCCATACTCGTTCAACACTAGACTTTAAAACACTTTCTTTTGAAATCTTTTTAGAAGACAAACTATTTGATGTTTCAACACCAAGCAAAGACTTATTTTTGTCAAATTCATTTGCAACACTTTTCAATAACACATATCTCTCCATATTTGTTCATAGAATTCGGGGTTGGATTAAAAATGTTCAACTTCATTTTCATGTGACCAAATGAAATCTTCAATATCCCCATCCTATAATTGATGTTGGCATTAGCGATAGCCAAGAAGGGACGGCCAAGGATAACGGGAATTTGGCTTTTAGGATTTGGGACCGGCTCCGTGTCAATAACAATGAAATCAACCGGGAAGAAGAACTTGTCAATTTTAATCAAAACATCCTCAATGATACCCCGGGGCTTCTTAATTGATCAGTCGACTAGTTGCAAAACTACCGACGTCGGTTCCAAATCACCTAAGCCCAATTGAACATAAACTGAATAAGGGAGAAGATTCACATTCGCTCCTAAATTAAAAAGAGCCCAGTTGATAACATGATCACCAATAGTGCATGAAGTAGTCAGTGAACCGAGGTCTTTGAATTTTGGGAGGGTGTTGTGTTACAAGATTGAGATTACTTGTTTGGTAAAAACAACTTTTCTTGGTGCTTAGCTTTTGTTTTTCCTCTTAAGGGTGCAAAGATCTTTCAAAAATTTGGCATCAGTCGGAATTTGTCTAATTGCATCCAAGAGAGGAAGATTAATTTTTACTTGCCTAAACACATCAATGATTTCATTAGCCTTGCTTTGTTGCTTTTCAAGAGAGTGGGATGCTTTTAAAGCATTCGAAAATGGAGCCTTAGGCTCAAAAGCTTTCTCAAAATCATTTTTTGATACATTTTCAACAATTAATTCTTTCACAATCAATGAAGAAGGAATAAGATGTGATAGGGGATAGGTGTCAACTTTGGGTTGCACCGGTTCACTCTCTTCATTGGACACACCAACTTGGTTGTCAACAACTTTTCCACTTCTCAAAATGGTCACCGCATTCACATGCTCAAGGGTAGGACCTTCCGAAGAAGAATTGGTCTCCACAACAAATTGTTGCTTTGGTGGCGGATTTAAAGGCATTTTCCCTTTTTTCCTTGCATTCAACGTGCTAGGTATTTGCCCGACTTGGGTTTCTAGCTTTGCAACCGATTGGGAATGAGAATAAAGCAATTGGGTATTTGCCTTCAAAGTACCCAAATGGGTTAGAACTTTCTCTTTAAATGCATGACTTCTTAAATTTCCTTGAGATTTCCTAAGCAAATTGTTCAATCGCTCCCATGCCTCATGAAACAATTCTTCATCCCCTTGTGAGAATTCACGAATTGAAGTTCTCATTGAATTGGTCTTTGACATCGGATAGTACTTTTTCAAAAACTCTTATTGCATCTCTGCCCAAGTAGTGATAAAAAATGGCCTCAAATTGTTAAACCAGTATTTTGCTTTATCTTTTAGGGTGAAAGGGAAGAGTTTTAACCTCAAAACCTCTTCCGGCATGTCCGTGTATTTAACGGTGGAACGCACTTCAAGAAATTCATCCAAATACTTGTAAGGTTCTTCACTTGGTAGCCTATGGTAATTGGGAAGCATTTGAATTGTTTATGGTTTAATCTCATAATGGTGTGCTCTAAATAGAGGTAATTGAATGCATATTGGTGCACTATACTCATTGGGCACATAATGGTCTCTTAAAGCAGGAAGATGATTTACAATTGGTGGCTCTACACGAGCACCATGATTTGCTTGAACAACATGAGGTGGAGGTGGTACAAAAAATGGCTAAGGCATTCCCATTGGAACCTGACCTTGTTGTTGTCGAATGAAGGGTCTAGGCATGCCTAATGGTACTTGCATGTTATCATGTTGTTGATACACATTAGGGTGAAGAATGCCTTGTTGGTCAATGTGACTAAAGTCCTCAACATGGTCCTCATTATGTTCCTCCATTGATGAAATAGTCACAAGAATTATCCTTTCCCCTTGGATTACGAATAATTGATTCAAAATTCAAATTTAATGGGAAAAGAGTGGGATTCAACGACCTACGACCACGCATGCACAATCAAAACAAGCAACAACTCAACAAATAGCAAGTAACAAACTTTACTTCTCCGTAACAAGTCAATCAACAACAAACTTCCACATACATTGATCATATACTCCCACGCTTTTAACAAATGCAAGAAAATAAAGTGCCACCATGCGGGCCGATGATTTAACTAGTGAAAATAAGACTTGCCTCCATGTGGGCTCACGATTTAACTAAAAAAGAGAGTTAGAAAAATTCACAAAGGGTCCTGAAGTAACTTCAAAATATTTTTAATTTTTGCCTTGCTTTTCTTTACAAATTTTTTTTTTTATTTTTAGCTTTTTATGCTTTGCTTAACTTAGCTTGCTTTTTCGCTTTAGGATTCCTTGGCTTCACTTCCTTGTCTCCAAGTACCTAGCCAATCAAGAACAAACATAATAAGTAAACAAAGTAAAATAAAGTAAAAACAAGATCAAAGGAGTACAAATTCCTAATTAATCCCAAAATACGGCGTTGCCAATCCCTTACAATGGCGCCAAAACTTGGTGTGTGCAAATGTCGTAGGTCACAACCAAAGTTGCAAATGTGATGAAGATGTGGCCAAGTTTAAATTTATAGAATGCCACTACCACTACTAACTACTAACGTAGCAAGAGTGAGTAGGGATGATCCCAAGGGAAAGGAAGGGTATTTTGGAATAAATGTTGGATTAGTAGGTCGAATGATCAAAAGAGGGGTTTGGTTTGATTAATTAAACTAATGGTTCAATTAAAACAATGCAATTAAGTAACAATCTAGAAATTAGAGAAAGTAATATGAGAGAAAGGCCTTGGGGGTTAGAGTTCACCACTAAGCTTCACTTCACCAAACACTAGCAATTGTAAATTAATGGGGAAATTCATATTGTAAAATATGTGTGTGTGTGTGTGTGTGACTAATTGAAAACTAGGCATGGATGGCAAATAAGCATAGATTGTCTAATTAATCTAGTGAATAGCACAACATATCAAATGAGACCAATAACCATTCAATTAAACCACAATTAGTGCACACAAAAATCTAGAGAAATGTACTTCTTGCATTCATAAGTATAGAACATCAAACAATAAGAATGGATTGTCCACCTATCTAAGAAATTAAAGCAATTACACTACATTTAAGCTAATGACATGAAAATTAAGCTAATTAAACTAAGGATGTGGCACAATCCATCAAGAAATGAGTATAAACCATCAAATAAACCACAAAAATAATCAATTAAGCACCATGCCTTGACCATCACTAGATTTATAACATCAACACACATAGACATGCATCAATTTCATTAAATCTAGAGAAAAACACATGAACATTCATTCTAGCATACATAGACATATGGATAGAATTAAATGATCAATTGAAAGCATTCATTTATACAAATCATGTAAGAATCACAAGATCTATATTCATTCATGGTCACAATATCAATTACAACTAAAATCCCCAAAAATATACAAAAGACTAGGTCTATGAAGCAAACTTAGGGGCTATCTCTAGCCCCAAAATAACGATTTAGCCACTCATTATAGCGGTCATAGAATCCTCAAGGGTTAACTTGGAGGTTGGCATCATCTTCTTCCTTCTTGTTTTCTTCACAAACCCTAATCTAGAGAGAGAAACTATTTCTGAAATTGGTAAAAATTAATTCTAGAGAACTCTCTTTCAAAATTGTATCAATTAATCTATTATAAGCCTCTTTGAGTAGGCAACAAGTCAAAAATAATGCCTATGATTGGTGGAAATTCGCAGCTACAAAAGTAGGTAGAGTCCGAACGCGCTCGGGAATTAGACAACACACTGCCAGTAGTAACTTCGATCGATCGAAGGGAATTTCGATCGATCAAACACTAGCTTCAATCGATCGAAGATGACGTGTCATGAAAATATCTTCTTGGCCTTATCCAAATTGTTGAGCTGGCACTGCCTTGATTTTGATCGATTGTAGCCTTCTTCAATCAATCGAGACTTCCTTCAATCGATCGAAAATTCATTGATGCAGTTTTCTTGACTTTTTTTTCGGATTTGCTCCTTAGCTTCAAAATTGAGCTAAATGGCTCATTTTAGTCTGTTTGAACTTTATTAATCTAAAATAGGCAAAAACACAAATAAGTACTAAAACATGAAAGTAAGATAGATGAATGGACTAAAATACCCTAACTTAGATGCTAAAATGCGTCACATTTGAGCACTTATCAAAATACTAGGGTTAATGGAAGTTAAAGAATTTTTGACATTTCCTCTCAAAGTTCCATTTTCAGCCAAACAGGAGTTGATTTGCCACTTTCAATTTTTGAAACCCTTGCCTTAGGATTTTGATCTTAGGCCTTAAAGATCATAACTTCCTCTCTTTTTGATATAGAACATCTTTTCTTAGTTTCTCCGTTGGAGGTTGTTTGCCTTGGATTCCAAAGGGGTGAATTTCGTGTAGACAGTTTGAGGTATCCTGAGAAC